TAATATTGTATAAAGTTAAGCTAAGAAAATAAAATTCTTTCTGGAAGTAGAAATGGAATTTTGGAAAGTCTAGAAATGGACCCCAGTTTATATCAACACAGACTTGGAAAAACTGATTTGTAATAGCTGAACTATTACTAGTCGTATACAAAGATAGTAAGAATTATGTAGAAGTCTGAGTTGATGTAATCAGTTAGTGAGTACTGCACACTGGGAGACATGGATTTCTGCACAAAAGTTCAGAATTGCTGTATGAGCATGTTTGTTGTCTTAACAGGATGGTGTGGCTTCTTCAGTAAGTAGAGGTGCTTTTACTTGACTTGGCACACAATAGGAGAGAATCATCTGTGTGTTGTCGCACAGAGACCCTCGAAAAGAATTCTGTATTTTCTGAAAATTAGCATATAACTAACTAATAAAATAACATGAAATATCTGTGATGTTCCTGACAGAGATGTTAACAGCTACGACATCACAGGAGTGACATGTGGGGAATCAGCTCCCAGGATATAATTGTCACCTCTATTTTATGACAGAACTTAGTTTGTTAGAGACTACATTACAAGGGAACTGAGTTGCTTTTTGTTGACTGCTCTCTTTTTCTCAAGTAAAGAAAACATAAAGGCAAGTTACTTCAGAAAATGGTAATCTAGAATGAATCTGATTTTCTGTCCCTGAGGCAAGGAGTACCGAAGCCCCCCCTCTCTATCCTGAACACAAAGTTCAAAGTCACTATTGTTTCAAGAACTGGAGCAGTCAGCTTTTCAGGAGATTAACCTCACTGTCTGCAGAGGGCACTCGTTTGTTTCATACGGTGTCTTTTTTCTGTGTCATCTTAAGATTTTTTAAATGTTCTAAATTAACTGCATCACCTTCCTTTAAACTGTCAAAATTCTGCAAGGGATTCCTTCTTTTTGGTAAAACTCTTTGGTTTGTTTTTATATGCAAGCAAAGGCCCAGTTAACCAGTAGCCAAAGAGAGCACTTACTTGTCTGTAGACAGATAAATAGCAGATTTTGTTAGAGTTTGCTGCTTCTTTTGATCTGCAGATTTGTATGCCATTACTCCTTGATTCCATCTGCATGAGTATCTTGTATTTGGAGGTATTCTGGAACATCATACTGATGAAGTTCTACTCCCCTTTAGGTTTAATGATTGCTTTTAAGTTACTAAAAGTAGTTCCAAACATTTTTGACACTGTGAATGTAAGTAGTAGTGGTAGTAGTTATATCCTTCTCTATACTTTGTTTTTTCTGCTCTACATGGCATTTTCCTGTGGTTCTCAAAGTCTTTAAGGGGGAAAAAATGATGTGTCAGTATTAGCAGTATTAATTTGTTTTGAAAAGGAGACTTGATGACAGTAAAACTGTTTGCAAACTTGTGGTTTTAATTTTTACATGCTGTTATGTACACTTTGTATTGTCTACAAAATATAGGATTATTGGGGTTGCACTGATTGCTGAGTAACAGTAATTAAGAAATTAGTAGTAAGATTTGAGAAGCTGAGCTGTCAGTCACTTGCAAATCTAAGCTGATAAAATTACTTCTGCTTGTATTTAACAAACAAAAACCTCCCACATATTATGAGCCTTTGAAAATGCAAATGAATATAAGTAAAATGTTTGCATGTGAGGCAAAAGAGAAAATAGAATGCACTTGGACAGAGAAATTGAAAATATCCTCTTATTTCTGTATAATTGAGTAGTTATGCTCATGATAGCTTTTAAGTTGATTTTTACTTTAGTTTGAATGGTGATGCTTGTGTTACTGTTCTTTCACTTACATTTATGTTTCCTTACAAGTCAGTTTGTGCTGTACATAAAGATGAACCTCATAGTTTCTGTTTAGGGCCATGTTGTTCAGTTGCAGGAATTAACTCTGGCACAGCACTACAGGAAATGTTTGTGTAATTAAAAGATTTAAAGAAACATAGTGTGTGCTCGATCCTTCACATGGATGTTTTAGTTGCAAGATAGCCATTTCTTTTCAGAAAATAAAATTAATAACAGGAGGCTGGAGACCATCTAATAAACCTTACCTTCAAAGCAGAATCAGCTTCGATGCACAGAGCTTTCAGTTCTTGAATTTTGCTGTGTATCACCAAGGAATCTCCCATGCAGCCTGTTGCTGTGCACTGGCTTTGGCAATTTCCCTGGCTGGAATTTGCCATGCCACAACTTGTGACTATTCCCTCTTTTCCTTTTGTTGTGTCCTCTGTAATTTCTATGCTTCCCTTTCATAGTTGAAGGCAGTGATTTTTGCATTTAACAGTAATTTTTGCTTGCTCCATCTTAACCTTCTCTTCCAGAGGCTGAACACACCAAGCTCCCTGAGCTTCTCCTTGTGCCGGATATATTCCAGTACCCAAGGCACTGGTGTCTTCCTGCTGCACTCTCTCCTGTTTGCTAGTGCCTCTCTGGCACCACGGGCTCCAAAACTGAACAGTCATCCAGGGACAGCATAAGGACTGCTGAACGAAAAGGAATAGTCACTTATTGTTATATGCTTCCAAATGCAGCCCAGGATGTGTTTAAGTCTGTGTTAGCATAGGGGAGCCCCTCTGGGTTGCACACAGCTTCTTGTCTGCCCAGGCCCCCTGGTACTATTGATATAGTATCAGGAGGAAAGAGAGCAGCATAGCCTGCACCAGTTTGTGAAGGGCTCAAATCATGGCAGATGAGTGTAAGTCAGACTTTGGTGGCGGCTTGGTTGAGCACGTAACAGAGAAGCAACACATGTGTGGACATATGTGATAGTGGCCTTCAACAGGGCTTTTCTAGAAGGAGGTGAAAAGGCAGGGTCTGCAGTTACTTCTTTTCAAAGTCATGCTTTGAAAGAGTCAACAACCATGTGGATAAGGATTATCTAATCAGAGCAATGTCCTTGGATTTCTTAAAAATAATAAAAAAATTTTGATTATCAAGGTCCTTAATCAGCCTGTTAAGCTAAGGTGTGATAGAATGGGATGGTCCTCCCATGGGTTAATAATTGGTGAAAACTGAACTTGGTACAATGAGTATCCCAAGTGAGCTATTAGCACTGAAGAAAGATCTTGAAGTTGTGGGTTATTTTAATGAAAATGTGGTATCAGTGTTTGGGGGGGAATTTGTAGAATTACGTAAAAAGGAACAGGGAATAAAATAGTAAACAAGCTATACATAACATACTGCATTTCTTGGTCATGAATATTGTATGGATGCCTGTCATCTGCAAAAGAAAGGGCAGGAGAACTAGAAAGCAACAGTGGCCATCTGAGGTAAGAGAAAGTTGCTTAAAGCATGGTGCTCATAATGCCAAGGTTGGGGGTTTGATTCCTGTATAGGCCATTCACTCAAGAATTGGAATTGATGATCCTTGTGAGTCCCTTCCAACTCAGAATATTCTGTGATTCTGAGAAGATGATCAAATAGATCAGGTGTCTTAACCTTGGAAAGCAGTTAAAACTCCTCTTTTATACTGGAAATACAGTCTTCAGACTGCACTGAATTTTTTAAAACAGTCAGGAGAAGTTAAAAAAAAAAGACCCCCAAGAAGCTGAGATAAAGGTACACAAGCACTGCAAGCCAGGATAGTTTATATTGATTTATTGTATTCCACAGAGAGAAAGAACAAGCACAATTCTGATCATGATAGTGATGAGTGTATTTGGAGGGACAGGAATGTATAACAGACTTATGTTACTGGATAGCTGCTGACTTTCTGAAGGAGCACTGGGAAGCTGGTTAGTAATGGAAGACGGACATGCTGTGCATCCTGTTTGGGAATAGATTGGTGACTGAGAGTAAAGTCTTAAGTGAAGCTATTACTTTGACATAGTGTAGTAATAGCAGCTGGGAAATATCTGCCTTCTGGAAAGCAAGGGGTTAAAGAAGATATGACTTGTCCTCAAACTTCCTGTAGATTTCCTGAATGTGTAAAGAGAGATAATAGGCATTAAGGCAGTTACAACCCTCCTGATACAGCCCTTGTAAAAATACTAACTTATTGCTTCTGTATTGGACAATGGGGAAAAGAGGAATGAGAGTTGTACCAAGTCCTTCTGACCCCACTGGCCTTTTTAAAAGTCATCTCAGGGAAAAAACTGCTGAACCTGACAACCACTTGACAATTGATTTGGCAAAAAAAAAAAAAGTCTCCATTATTTTAAGACTGGTTTGTTCATAATTTTCTTACTGTAGTCAGTCTTTGTTGCTTCTTTTTTCTTTGCTCTGTTTTGTTGTTGGCTGGGGAGTTTTTTGTTTGTTTTAAATAGGTGGGTTTGGGGTTCTTTCTTCTAAACTTTATCATGGAACATCAAACTGCTAGTGGATACCTGCATTGTTATTTTTGTAGTTGATTTATCTTTTACATGCCTTAAGACTTGCTTTACCTACCAGTGCTGATTGTGTATAGGTTATGAACAGGGAGAGAGAAAACTACCTTTCCTGCAGGGTCAGTGTGCTGAGTTGCGTGTATTTTTCTGAAATAATGGATTCTTGGGGTTGTTCTTTATTTCCCTGCCTTCAGCTGGGAGGGGACACTGACAGGAAAGTTGGGAATATTTTCTTGGAAAGGCCTGTTCCAGCCAAATGTTATCTCCTGCAGATCAGCATGTCTCAGAAGGCTGTGCCATATGCTATGGCATTGGGCATGTTTGTCAGGTGGTTCTGAAAATGATTTCAATAGCCATTAAGGGTAAGGCTAGAAGAAGAGAGGAGTGTGCTTTTTGTCAAATGCTGGTTGCCCCTATTACTCTGCTTTAAGAGAAGAATTGGAATACAAGGAATTAAAACATACTCATATTAAAACAGTGACTGGTAAAGTTACATAGAAGAAAGTTTGAGAGAATGTACTGAATCTTAATTTCTTTTTTTGCTTCAAATGTGTAAATGCTACATTTATATTGAGACTGTGTGTTTCAGGGCTAGTTTCCAGTAATATGCATTGGTAGTATAGATGAGACTATTTGCTAAAATAATACTATGTACTGACCTGAAGCTCTCTACTTGTATTTGTTTTAGGGGTTGTTTCCCTATTGGCTGTTCATCCTTCTACAGTAAATACGATTGGAAAACAGCTCCTGCCAAAAACATTCGGACAGTCTAATGTCAACATTGCACAACAAGTGGTAAGGAGACTCTGTGGGGTTTTTTTTGTTTGTTTCTTTGTTTGTAGGATGTGGGTTTGTTTGGGTTATTGGTGTTTTTTGTTTGTTTGGGGGTTTTTGTTTGTGTATTTCGTCTAGTTGTTTATTTAAATAGTTTTATTGCTTGTCCTATTGTTTACACATATTGCAAATTTGATGTAGCCTGGTAGTCTGTATCACTCGTCATGGGCAGATAATCTAAGTTTGTTTCTAATTTTAATAGATTTAGGTTATATAAAAAATGTATTGCATAAAGAAGTTCAAAGGTGATGCTCAAATCATCATGAAGCTACCTCACTGTCCAGGTGGCTTTATATTTTGTTAGTCTTGTTTGTCAGTGTCTCTTTCAGATTCTGCTCTGAAATCTGGCATAGGGAAATTTAAATGAAGTCCATAAACACGTTTTAATGACAATTTGAGCTAAGTTGGATAAAATTGAAAATAACTATATTTTATTGCTTAATTTAAATACTCTTTTGCTGAAATACTTATTTTGAGCTTTGTATAAAATGTACGAAATCAGATATTCCAAAGAATCTTATAATGCAATAGATAATACATAGGTTATAGTAATTCTTTCAGTAATCAAAATTAGAATTCAGTGATCTGAGTAGAAGTGGTCTCAATCTTCTGGAAAGCAACTCTTAACGTGTAACCATCTGAACTAGAGTGTCTTATATTTGGGGTTCTTCTTGATATGAAAGCAGTAGACTAGATTTTGAATGTAGAGTAGGTGTTAATCAGACTTCTCTGTCCCACTCTAGAAATGAACCTGTGAATTTGTGCACACTTCATTTCTTCCTTTGTAGAGTTGAGTATTTTGGGACTCTCCTGAGTGGAGTAGAAGTTCAGGATTTGCTGCTGCCAGTTTGTTTTTTCTACAGCTATAATTCTTCTCCTCACCCCTGCCCCTGTTCTGCTTTGGCTTTCATCTTATTGCAGGGTGATACAAATTCTAGCAGTACAGTGGTGGGGCTGCTCATGGAATTAGTAAGGCAGAGAGCAGGACTCTCTGCAAGCAAGGTGTTAAAACATCTCTTGCAGCCTTCTTCCATTTTTTCCTAGGGAATAGAAACCAGCTAGCAGCTTTCTTCAGTTCTCCATCTAATCTATTTACTTGAGTAGCACACGGGTGGTTTTCACACTCTTTGGAGACATTTGGTGAGCCAGAGCAGCTGGTATCAGAACTGACAGTATTTTCTTTCATGGGGATTAAGTGAGCAGGTTCACATGTGTCCTGTGCCAACATTCCCCACCCTCATGCCATTTCCTACAGTCGTAAGTTTTGTTTATCAAAAGCAGTAGAGGAGTTTTTTTGGCTTTTCATAAGAGACAGAAACATTTCAAGTATGGTACAATGCTCCTGGAAAGGAGTACCTAAGATATTCTGGCTGTCAGAAGTGGATATAACAAATATATACATTAACTGCTCAGAGAGATGGCATAATATAAAGAGAATATTTGGGGGAAAATACAGCTGTTTGTCTTTCCAGACAGCTGAAATCGTGGACATCCAACAGTCACTAGACTGCCTTTGGTACCATCTATGTAACTTTCACACATGAAATGTTTCATTTTCAGTTTTTGTATTTTACTCTTGTTGAGACTTAACTGTTGGAGATGGCCCAAGGAAGAAAAATTAAGTTTTGCTGCTCAGACAGAATGTAGCTGCAGGAAAATATGGCAAGCTTGTGGGTGGTTATGTGTTTAGGTTTGTTTTATGTTTTCGTTTACCTGATGTCAGGGATGCAACCAGCTGTTTCCACTGGGAGGTAAATGTACCCCAAAAAAGTAGATATTACAAAAGAGTAATCTATATGATATAATTTTTCCCCCATAATCCATATTTTCTAGACAGTTAAATTTTAAACAATTCAGAGATAAAAACCATGACCTGCAAAAGTGGGTGTTTTGTTTAGCTAGTTTCAGAGGTAGGAGGGCACAGTTCTGTGTGCTGATGTATGTACTATTACTTATGGTCAAATTGACACATCTTCAGGACAGTTCACATGGAGGCTGGAAGACTGTGCTTAGCCAAGTATGTGCTCTTAACGTGTTTGCAATGGAATGGGTTTGCTTAATTTGATGTCACTCACTACAGTGATGAGGAAAGTTTGCCCTTATTCTTTCTCATCTCTAACATAGTAGTTGGAGGCTGACTCCAGGAGAGAGGGTTCTTGAAAAAGCTCTGCATTATCTCTCTGGTTGTAGTGATTTTCAGATTTTCTTATATTCATATTTTAACTGTAATTTACTGCAGCATCCTTTTACATAATTTGGTAGCACAGGGGTTTTTTCCCCTCCTTTTTCCCCCCCATTTTCCTTGGAGGGAGGGAGTGTGTGTGTGTTTTACTCTTGTCTAAGTTAGTGCTGAACAGTGCTAAGAAATCCACCAAGCATGAAAACTTGATTTAAGGAGGTTAAAATAGAAATGCTCATATCTTAGGGTGTTGTCTAACTATATTAACTGTAGTCAGAATTTTTTTATACAAGTGTATATAAATTAGATTCATCTAAGAGAAGTATGTAAAGTACTAGTGTTTGGATAATGCATAATTTCAATTGTATCACTTACAAATGTCTTGGAATTCTTACCATTTTCCAAATTATTTTATCTTTACTGTAGGTTATCGGTACACCTCAGAGACCTTCAGCGCAAAATACTATCCTGGTAGGAAGTCCACATACGCCTAACACACATTTTGCATCACAGAACCAGACTGGAGATTCTTCACCTTGGTCTGCTGGGTGAGCAAAATGAAAGCTAGAAAGGATTAATAAAATGTTGGAACATTTGTTTTAAGTGTTGTGCTAGTGTACGTACTCCTCAGACTAGCAGTGTGCAAAAAGTCTTTTCCTTTTCATCAAGAGCACTTCACCACTGAAGTCTGTTGCTCTAAAATAGGGAGTAGGCACACAGCAATGAGTATCTCTTCTTTTCTTGTAAAAGAATGCAGAATATTTTCTGTAAGCTCTGATAGATATTCTGACATTACTAACATTTAGGCAATTTAGGTCCTAAAAGGACACAGGAGTTTGTCTGATTTGATTCATGATTTCTCTTATGCTGGTGTATTTTCAGAAAATACTGTGTATTTCTAATTGAACAAGGGTATCCCAGAGTGTCATTTGAAATAAGAATGTAGTCCTTCTAGAGAAAAAGTATTAAATAAAAGGAGTGCATTCTTTCGGTGTGGTTTTTTTTGATGCAAGCATGTTTTTAAGGACATCTTGTTAAATGTAGTTGCTAAATTTATTATTGGTAGCCTGTTACACATAAATAGATTTCTACTTTGGAATTGTACAGTGAAATGAGATGTAAGAATTGAGACCTCCCCTTGCTGAAACTAATTTTGTTGATACTTGTATTTTTCCTCTAGTTACAAGGAAATTTTTATATAAAAACTTTGCAAAGCAGAAAACTTCATTATACTGCTTGTATCTTGTAACTCTGAAGTTCTAATAGCAATTTCATATACTGTATAACTTCAAATTGTGTTATAGTAATAGTGTAATGTTTAGTGAGTTCAACCAATACCAGACTTTGTTCAGTCAGTATCAGTATCACATTGCATGGAAAATGCTCGATCCATGTGCTACTTAAAAATAAAAAAATTTAAAAAGGACAAAAAAGTTCTCTTTTTTGATTCAGTTTTCATGTTTTAGTATGTATCCCCTTATCTCTTCTTATCTTGAAGTTTGGAAGGTTTTCTTTATTGACTTTTTAAGTAATATCCCTCTGGTTAATTTTTTTGTCTGCTACTGGGAAAATTTTAGGCCAGGTTGGATAGAGCTATGGGCAACTTCACTGAGTTGACGATACCCTGGCTCAGTGCAGGGGATTTGGACTAGATGACCTTTAAAGATGTTTCCAATCCAAACTATTCTATGATTTTGTGATTCTACTGAAGCTAGAAAAGTTGGCAAAAGTATAAATTTATATTGTGTTTAAGCATCAAGGTACTAGAATTGTGTATAAATATTGTAAAATGTAGAGAAAAAAATGTAGGAGAGAAGGTTGGTAAGGGATAAGAAGCAGAAGAAAAGGGAAGGCTTGGGTTTTTTACAGCAGTGTGCCTGTATTTGAAAAATACACATCAAATATTCCAAAGTTTAAATCTTCTTAAAATATATATTATACGTATATTTAGGAAGCGGAACAAAAAAGGCGAGAAGAATGGCAAGGGTTTACGTCATTTCTCTATGAAGGTTTGTGAGAAGGTACAAAGAAAAGGAACCACCTCATACAATGAGGTGGCAGACGAGTTGGTTGCAGAATTCACTACCACTGATAATCACATTTCACCAAATGAATCAGTAAGTATATGGGAAGTCAATTACATGTGAACTGAATGGGGGAAGAGAAATTTCTCTTGAGATTCTTCTGTTTTTCCTGCTGCTAAATGAAACAATTCAGATATTAACTGAGTTTGCCCATTTGCTGTAATGTGTTTATTTTCAAATATTTTTGACACAGGTGTATTTTTGATTAATGCACTATGTCTACAGCAGGCTTATGACCAGAAGAATATTAGACGACGTGTCTATGATGCCTTAAATGTCCTTATGGCCATGAACATTATCTCTAAGGAGAAAAAGGAAATCAAATGGATTGGTCTACCTACTAACTCGGCTCAGGAATGTCAGAATTTGGAGGTATATTCATTTGGAACTTCACAATGGCTTTGTGTTTGAGCAAGTGTTCACAGCTTTAATATATTCTGATACAATATGTGCCCATAATCTTCTGTGATAGCAACAAAGTCCTTTTTGGTCTCTGTTTATTTTATTTTTTATGTACCGAACACACGCTCTTCAACTTCCAGGATGCTCAAATGTGTCTTTGTTTAATTCTTCTGAGTCAAAAATACAGCTTTTATAAGTACATGTGAAGTAGTTCTGAGTGGAAGGTAGTAAAAAATTTATGTGTATTTCCAACATTGCAGCAGTGGTACTCAGGAGTCCTGTTTTCTCAGGGAAGATTTGTTTTCTCCAGATGCCAAACAGACAGTAGTTCTGTGATTATAGATGTTGCATGTGGGTCAGTACATATAGGCATCTCCATTGCTGCGGGTCTTACCTTTTTGTGACAATCCTCTTAAATGAGTATGTCCGACTTTCTTATTGCATGTCTTGGGGAGGAAGTGAAATGCTTTATACTGAAAGAGATTCTTAAGTCCTGACAGGGTTTTTTACTATCCCAAGATTTGCAGAATAATAAAATTATTGAGGTTTACTGAAGTAAATTCACTTTATCAGAATGGAATGAGATGTTGAATTTATTCTTAATAAGTCTAAATTTCCTTCAGCAGGACAAAAACAATCAGTGAGAAGGTGCCAAAGTTAGAGGGAAAGTGGAACAAAAATGTTTGGGAGCCTTACCTACAATGGGATAATTCTAATTTTTGTTTGATACTGATAATTGATTTTTCATTTTATTTTTTAAATTAATTTTGTGGCAGTGAGTTTCAGGTGCATGAAAAGCTTCTTATGAAATACCTTTTGTTTGGTTTTGAACATACTAATATGTTGATATCTGCTGAATGTATTTTTTTAATTGGAAGTGATGATGACCTAGTCATTCCTTATTCACTTTCTCCATCCTGTTCATTGTTTTATAGGGATCTCTTATGTTCTCCCGCATCATTTGTTCTCCTTTCAGTACAGTCCTAATTTATTCATTATTCTCTTGCGTAAAGTCTTCTCTGTATCACTGATGATCCTGACAGCGCTTTCGTATGCTTGTCTTGAAATAGAGCCATCAGACCTACAGAATTCAAGATGTAAACATTTTGCTTCATAGAGTAATGTGGTGATAATTCCTGTTTGGTACTCTGTTTCTTGTCTAATAATTCAAATTTTTGGCTGTCACAGTATAGGGAGCTGATGGATTTTGCAGATACTGCAATTTTACATCTCTACTGAATGTCATTTTATGTCTAAAGTATGCATGGATTAGATTTTTTTTTCACACATACCACTCTATATTTACCAGAAATAATTTAGGTGTTGTAATCACAAAGTGCTGTAAGACACTTTGAGTTTGCTTTATGACAAACTTTCTTTTCACTGTGCCAGGTAACCCAGCATTGCCAGCAGATTCTGTCACCTTGTCACCTTGGTCTGATTGTCTGTTGTTAGAGTAAAACTGACAGTGTGTCAGTTTAATCTCTGTGGGAATCTGCTGGGGAGCTTCTTCCACTAAGAAATCTGTGTATTTGCTAGCTTTTTGTCTCTTACCTTTTTTGTTATTATTTAGTACATATTAAGTACTGTGAGGCCTTAACCTTGGGCTCCATAGCAGCTTCATATCTTTAACCATCTGTGTTGGATTTTCTCCAATAACCCTTTGAGACATAACTTCTGTTTGCAAAGATGTTTTTATCTTCTTCACAGGTTGTTGTATTTTATTTACCAGGGTTCTGATTCTGCTTTTTGTTAGTTTCCATAGGCAGTACTGATGTGTCTTGATAGTTAAGTCTCTAAATTATATGTAGAATCGTAATGATTGATTGCTGTATTTCCTACCTCCAGTGTTCTGGTATTGAAATTATTTTAAAGGGAGAAAATGTTGGCATAAAATGCTACTTGCAACCAATAATCTGACCAGTCCTTTTTATCTGTCTTTAGGTGGAGAAACAGAGAAGAATCGAAAGAATAAAGCAAAAACAGTCTCAGCTACAAGAACTCATTCTACAGGTACAGTCAAGGTACTCTTGTCTATAGGGCAAGGTGGCTTATATCTGTATTCTTCTTGTTTTATCCCAGTCTGAGGGATGGGAAGCTTCTAGGAATTAATTCTAGAGATGAATTTCAGGAGAAGATGTATGCAGCTTCATTTAACAGGGTAGTTTAGCTGGGACCATGTTCTTGGCCAATCATATTTGGGATGCCATCAACCTTCTATCAGTTATGATGAAATTGTTTGGAGTTTCAAGTATGTTTAAACAGGCTTTATGTTGATAGAAGTATTTCATACCATACCCTCTGAATTTGCCAATTCAGTTCAGGAACTGAACTAGATACAGGTATCTAGAATTTTCTGCTGTGTTAGCATCCATAGATAAAATTATGTGAGTGTAGAACTTGTCTGTCATAGTGTTCTGCATTGTGCCTCTCTGGAGATTCACTGCCACTGGTATGGAGGTGGCTGGACCACTGTGAAACAGTGGCTGAACTCCTTCCCAGATTTCCCTTACTACACTTGGGGAAGCAATAGTCTATTTCCCAAGTCACTGACATTCTGGTCCACATTAATGTATTCCAGGGGAGCTGGAAATCCTGTGGGACAGCTGCCTGATTTTTATCAGTCTCTGTGTTGGCTTTGAATTTTGGTCTTAATTCTTGTTTATTTAATTTGATTTTGTGACCAGAAAAATATTTTTCTTTGTTCAGTAGCTTACTGTATGATTTATAGCTTGAGTTTCTATGGTTTTTAATTATTCAAATTGCTAGTTTTTAAAATAGGAGCATTCCATTGTCAAAAACAATTTTGGTAAGATGTTAAAAGTCACTAATCTTAAATGGGTAATTGAGAAACCTAATGCCAGATATTCAAATCCCAAACATTCACTTTTTTAGCATATAATTCATTTTGGTATTAACATTCAGGTGTCTTTTTTGGAGTGCAGTAACTAGTGGAGAGGAGTAAATGGAGAGGAGTTAGGATGCTATGGGAAAATTTATTTTTCCAAACATTGTTCTCTCTCCATTTTGCCAGGGATCTGTCCAAGTTGCTGTGCTGATGTAGTTAGTAGAATATGCTTTTTTTTTTTTTCTCAGTGAAGTTTTACTGCGTTGCTTTTTTTAATACTATGATCTGTGACTCTTCTTGCATCAACATGCAGAGATATGGTAAACACTCTGTCCTTTTCTGCATTTACTTGCTGCAACCATTGCTGGAGTCCTTAGGAATTTTGTTAACATGATCCCAAAAGCTTCATTCACACTTAGATATTGCTGTTGCTTTTTCTAGCAAATTGCCTTTAAGAACCTCGTCCAGCGAAACCGTCACGCAGAGCAGCAGGCAAACCGACCTCCCCCTTCCAATTCTGTCATCCATTTGCCTTTTATCATTGTGAACACCAGCAAGAAGACAGTGATCGACTGCAGTATTTCAAATGACAAGTAAGCTAACAGAGTTTGCCATTTGGCTTTTGGTAGAGGTCTGAGTTCATATAAATGTTCATGTAGATTTGCTAAAGATTAAATGCAAACTTAATTTACTTGTGCCTTTTGTATATTGAGAACATGCATTTCAGACAGCTGTTTTATATACTCTTTTATTAAATAGATTAATTGATTCACATTTGATAACTTATTTAAAACTTGCTATCTAGAGATAATAGGCATCGCTCTCTTGACATTTTATATCATATTTAACTAAGCAGTGTTTTCCTTTGTTTTTAACACCATGAAATGGAGCCAGTGGACTTGAAAATGGATTTCACTTTCAGTACTGCTGTTCTCCACTTTTGGTTCAAAATGCTGTATTTTTCATTAGCTAAATAAAACCTGAATGTAAGCAGTCACAGGCAAATACATAAATCTTGAAAAATTTGATTACTTAATGTGATGTGTCACTAACACATTTAACACTGTGTGTAAAGTTTTTGAAATGCTACAATTCCTGA